GATTGCGTTGAGCAGGCTGCATGGCAGGATGTCCCAACTGAAGTGCACCTGTTCGCGTTTGCAAAGTGAGGTGCTGGCCAGTCAAGGGCGTTTGTTTGTATGCATGGTGGGCTGCCTGTCGTGCCATCAATGTTGGGCCCGTTGTTTGTAAGACCATATCCAGCACGCTTCCATGCAAGGGCCGACTTTTGTAGTTCCTTTTCTCAGCTGCAGGAAGTATAGCCCACGCTCGAGGCCTATTTCTCCTGGCGAGGGGTTCTGCGAGCACGGCTCGGTGTGCGGCTGGTGGGCCTTTTTGCCTTGGGGCTGTCGCAGGCGGATGAACTCTGGTCATGAGTGTGCCACTGTTGGCTCAGAGACTGGATTGATTCAAAGGGGAATGGAAAAAATCCGACTTCAAGGAAACTGCCACATGCTGGCAGGTGACACTAGTTTCAATGGGCATCAAACACTGACCCAGAATATACTGAAGGGAGTAATTGCTTGCATCACGCCCGATTTCAGGATTGTTGGTACTCACCTCGCAGCCTGGGGAGCCTGGTGCATGTCACGATAGCTTCCGCCTTCGGCTTAGCCACCCATGTGGTGAACCACGGTGAGGCCTTCGTGGGTTGGTGGATGGTTCGCAGCGGCCTCGACCCCCCGGAGAAGCACACGCCCACTTTGGGCCCCAAGCAGCGACCCCGGGTGTCGCCCTACCGCTTGGCCTCGCGCTCTGGACAAGGGGACGGGGCTGGGCATTGCGCCTGTTGTCTTGGTACATCGATGGCCCTGGACCCAGTTGTTAATCTACCAGGGCCATCTATTTTCCCAGAAAAAGACGGAGATAGCGCTGAGGGTTGTCCAAGAAGGTGATGCTGATGCATCTTTTGGACCCTTTGCGCCTCCCCTTGAATCAGTTAAAATCAAGAGCACCCTGTTTGTCCAAAACTGGCAGCCCTTCTTTTTGAACATTAAGCAGCATGATCATTGTTTCACACATTTCCCTGACTGAGCAGGCCCAGCCTGAAACGAGCTCGCACAACAGCAACGATAATGGGTACAAGAGACAACAAAAATTCGCCAACCAACGCCCCAAGGATCTCCAAAGGCC